CTGAGTTGACTCGGCTGAAAACTCGGTTTGACCACTAATCACTAAAAATCGCATAACTTTTCGGTCGGACCTCCTTTTTTGACGTGGTTTTCGCTCACGCGTTCGTAAAGAGATAATCTCAACTTACAGTAGAAATATCTCAAAAATATCTTCCAATAAAAGTCAGTTTTTATGTATCCGTAACGTAGATATTGATGTTTTTGACCCGTTTCTTTCTAATTGTTTTGCCCCGGGCCTTGTACGATGATTCTGACTATTTCATATATAGTTTATTGCATTTGGGTTTGCTTCCAAATTATACGTTTTGATCACATAAACACGTATAAAGAGATAATTGTAACGTATTTGTGAAAGTGTTTGTTACACCTTCTTCATTGGCCATTGGTAGCCAATGTCATCGAGGCAGGCGATGATCTCAGCAATGGATGGTTCACTGGCAAAGGGACCCTTGGGGAATCGAAAAACGTGCTTTAGAGTGGCCATGCCAAAGTTAAGAGTCATCCTGTTGAAGGTGAAAGAGATTTTCTCCACCTAATGACCGTTCTTATCCTCTTCTTGCACCACCTTAGCAGTCATCCAGAACTGCTGAAGGGCCGCCCTAACCATGACAGGTTAATGGTTGAGAGCATAGGTGATTGGGGACGTGGAGGAAGGCAGCAACATCCTCGTAGATGGTTTTTTTTATGGGAATGTCCAACAAGGCAATGTGGTTATTGGCCTTGAAGGAAATGTCTTCCATAGCAAAGTTCACATTCTTGGCAGTAATTTTCTATTATTGGTAAGGAAATAAGAATGAGAAAAACAATTCATATTAGTAGTCCAAGATTTATTGTGATCTTTTTATGTTTTAGAACAATAAAACTTCTTTTGAAAAATCCACAAATGAAATATTATGGTTTTTCAAGTAGATTAGTGTTTTGAAACGAGATTATAACCATGAATATGAATGTGTTATGAATCTTTCTGTTTGTGTTTTAAGAGAACAACGTTCTTAAAATCTCAAAGATCTGTTTCATTAGAAGGAAGAGAATAGTTCAAAATGTAAACAAAATTTATCAACCTCGGAGTTCTTTAAAGAAGGTTGAAGGTTTTGAGTGTTCTTGAGAGTTCTTGCTTGCAAAGTCTTTTTGGCAGAGGTTCGTCAAAGATTTTTCTAAACGTAAAGAAAATATGATGGAAGAGATCCCATATTTATAAGTAGGAGGAGAGAGAAAAGAAATAGGAGAGAGGAAAAATATGACGGTTGAGGAAAGGTCATGATGAGAAATATGGCACGTTCTCATCCATGATTGGATGAAAGATAAAGTAGGTCGTGTGTGTTTGATCTTTTTGCGCGTCTCAAAGCGATTCTTATTGGTAACAAAGAATGTCGTCATTAAGACGGTTCATTAAATATTTGTTTTAAAATGAAAGGGTTTTAAGAAATTTGAAGATTCACATTCAGTGATTAGATAATCCCTGAATAATTTTTTTTAAAACATTTTGATCACTGAAGAAGAGAATCTTCAGTGATGGTTTTGTTTTAAGAACTGAAAATAACTTAGAAGAATATATTTTCATAAAGACTTCAGTGTTAGTGATAAGAGAATCACTGAAACTGATATTTAAAAACATTTGAATCACTGAAAGTAGAAAGGTTCAGTGATCATTTTGATTTTAAGAAAGGATAAGTATAAAAGAGATATACTTACTTAAAAAAGTTCAACGAAGGAAAGAATAACTAAAACAAACTTTTAAAAACATTTTAATCACTGAAGAAGAAAAGCTTCAGTGATAGTTTTAATTTTTAAGAAAAGAATAAGTATACATACCTTAGAGAGTGTAAACACATTTACTTAAGAGTTCAGTGATAGAGATAGAGCATTGAATCATTTACTTAAGAGTTCAGTGATAGTACATGCAGAGCTTCTGTATGCTCATGCAGAGCTCCTGGCTACCCTCTTCAAGGAAAGCGCACATTAGCCCAGACATTCTCGCAAAGTGTCTAATAGATTTAAGGCGGCTTGACCAAGTCTGCTCCGCTATTCAAGGGAATTCAAAGATAAGGATGTAGACCAGTGAGCTCAGAGTTCCACGCCTTTTTTATAGCCTAGTTTGTTAGACCTAGATGTATATAAGGAGGCCTCCGCCTCAGGTTCAAATGACCTGAAGGAGCCAACTTATACTATACACGTATTCTTGTGAGATTACTTTTTGTTCTTCAATTGTTCATCATTATCAATAAAAGCATTCGGTTATTCAAAGTATTATTCACTATTTACTTTCTTATTTGAATATCCTGTTTAATCAATAGAAATACTTTGCTGTTCTTAATTCTTATTTTATGCAAACAACATTTCTGCAAATTGAGGGTATATGGGTTCCAACAATATGTATAAGAGCCTGCTAATCAAATTAATTAATTAGTCGATCGATATCCGACTGGATTATACTCTTAATTTT